AACGCAAGATTTGTCTGGGCTGTTGTTTGGGAAAGCTGACCTAATACTGACGTCATTGTGACGTCAGCAACTAATTTAAATAACAAAAAAAATTGCAAGGGCATGCACCATTCACGTGAATAGCAACAGCCCTTACCCCCCCTACTTTTTGTCATGAGAGCAATTCCAGCGGAGCCCCCAACCCAAGGCTAGGGGGAGAAAAACAAAAACTCTTGTTCCAGCGGTCAACCCAAGCCCGGGCAAGGAGTGGGTCCCACGAACTTAGGTTGGCTCGAAAGCCAGTTCAGCCCGAGGTCCAACTCGCGTGTTGGGTGATGTCAGCGCTACAGTGCCGCTAAAGTCCACGTGTCGCGCTCTGGGCTCTCCGATCAGATTTTTTACTCCAATCCAACGGCAGCCAATTTTTGTGCAATAAAAAAATCCAATTTTTTTTATAAAAAAATTACTGATTTTTTTTCTTTCTATAAATGCCAAAATTTTATCCGATTGAGATATGAAATTTATAATAAATATTGACACATACGAACCCGGAAATCTTATTCGAAAATATTATCCAAATTAATTATTGAGGTAAAAAAATTTAAAAAAAAAACAAAAAAATGAATAGTAATTGCCCTTAGCCATGGCAACGGGTGGAAACACAAAATACTATTTGCAAGGGCAACCACTATTCACATGAATAGTGGCTGCTCTAGCTCCCCCCTTGCCATGGCTAAGGGCAAATGGGTGGAGTTGCTTTGACAAATGGGTGGAAATGCAAGGGTTAATTTTGGTATGTTTGTAAATGTGACTTTCAAAATTTTAAAATTTGAGAATAAGTGTCATGTGATCATTTTTGGGCTAGCCTAGGCTGAGCTATATAAACTTAGACCAACCATGGTATGAGTGTCAAATATATTGCTCTTAAAATAAAATCCTACAATTTTCCATAATCATATCCCTCCAAAGTTAAAAGAATCTGAAAGGAGAAGATGAGCAAAGTTAACAACACAAGTTTATTATACATATGCTATATCATAACACAAGTTTGAGTGTCTTCGTTACATCATGTTGACATTATATCATATACATTTTATAATTCATCGCCATCAAAAGAGAAACAAAATGAAACATAACTAATATATATTCCGTAACTTAAAAAGTAGTGAGGAGACTATTGCTATATCTGAATCCCCAAGAGTTTTTTTTCTTTCCCTTTTGGTAAGCAAGGTGAACTATATAACTAGCTCAAACACAAGTAGTGTACTAATTATGGCCAACTCCCGGGCTCGGGACTGCCTCCCGCAGAATCCGATCGCGATCGGCGTTAACAGAATGAAGTTGATCATGAAGAGTCATGGCCAACTGCGTTTCAACATTAATTTTACTTGGTACTGCATGGTGATGTTCATGCTCACCCAGATGATCAGAAAGCTCATCACCCTTTGCATTGTTTTCAACTGTCAGTAGCCTTCTGGCTTCAAAAGAGGGGATGCAGAAAGCTAGAGCAAAGAGGAGGACAAGAAATAATGTTACACATAAACGAGCCATAATGCATAACAAAATTGTGACCATATCGTCAAGCTATTAGCATGTATATATACACAAGTGCTGAGAGATAGAGACGTGGGGTCAAGCAAAATTGATCATCAACATGTTTGAAAGTGATCAAAAGATGGAATGTTTTGGGACATATATCCTTTTACGAAAAATACAGATAGTGGATAGGTATCTTTTTGAGTTAGGTGCATTTGAACTACAGGGCATAGTCACGCCGGCCTCCATTATTGGCATTATATAGTTCTGTCCTGTGACTCTGTGAGTATATATTCCACTCAAATATTATTCATGGCTCCAAGTCTTCAGCTACCTAGAAAGTTAGAAAAGCTTGAAGAAAGCTAGCTACAGCATTTCATCATGACTTTCCATTCGTTGGTTCCTGCACTGCAACAATGCATGAGACTAAGACGTCCTTCTTTTTTGGGATGCATACACATCATCAGTATTATGTGAGAAGGTATAAAGTTGTTGAAAATTATTGGATCCAGTAAAAAAGAGATCGTCTTAGTTCAATGAATCAACTTACTGTTTTCATGAGCATGACAACACATGTTGTTTTCGTGCAAGAATAAATACACAGAATAACAGGGTTATTGATGGTGATTGTCACTTCGGAAAATGCAAACGATATAAGTATAGAGTGGCAAAGACCCACTAGTGTAGTGGTTTGGAGCAATTGCTCCTTCAAGAAAGGTCCTGGGTTCGAGTCCTAGCATTCGTATAGTATGTGTGTGTGTGAATTTAGTATATTATCGCCCCTCTCAATAAAAAAGGTCCTAAAAAAAATATAAATATAAAGTGATGTTATTTGTACCACATTTACTGACACACTGTTGACAACCTCTCTAATATATGTGAGTCCCACATAAACAAAGCACTGCTGCCCCCAACTATCTTTCCTCTGCAAGGCACTCTGTTCATGTTCAGCAGGGGATGCTTGCACATTGTTGACACGTGACATGAAGCTTTTTGCTGCCCTAAATTTCCTTCCCCTTTCAGTAGTTGATTGGTTCCCAGTAATGCTAGAGGACCATTGTCAATGCCTGGCGTGAAGATGCACCATTGTTATTATCTCAAGCAACATCGCTTGCTTTCTATCCAAGCCCCGAAAGTTATTATCTCCATTATCATCACAGACATCCATATTGTCTCCAAGCATGATCTCCTTCTCTTTCCTATCTCCATGTTTTCTTTTCTTTTCGGATTCCTCAATTTTCCAAGTATATATACACAGACCAATTCAAGCATGATCCACTTCTACTTCTTTGTACTTACTTATACTGACATGATATTTTTCTTTCTTGAAAAAATTATGATTTACAAGCCTGAAACATATGAGTAGGATCAAGTAATATTAATAAAGCTTTTGCACAGGCTATATACTACATATATAACAAAATAAATCTTTAAACTTTAATTGACCACATTAGTAGTTACTTGTAACTAGTTAATTTAAACTAAACACGTGATTAAATTACTTGGTAGATTTCTAATTAGTAAAAATTACTAATATATCTAGTAAAATAAAGTAAATTGAAATTAATAATTATATTTACAAAAAAAAATCATATTAATTCTATATTATTGAAAAATATAATTTCTTTCTCACACTTATTAACATGTTCAACAAACTCAACCTCTTTTCTTCCTAACACCAGGCAATGCAATGGGTGTGAGTGGATAAGTATCGTATATTTATTACATCATCACAATTCCATCCCAATGAAAGCCTCCAACTCTTAACTCTCAATGTATAGATTTCAAGAAGATTTTTTGTTTGAATCAAACAGCTTTATGGGTTTTCGTTGCCGATTCTTCCCAACAATTTCTTCACACATTTTTGGTACCTGGGAGAGTGTTCTTTTTCTTGTTGTGAGTATAAGAGAGTCTTGTGAATCCAATATCGATCAAAGCATAGCAACAAAAAGCTCATATGGTTTTTTGTTGCTTCACTTTTCTTCTGCTGTGGAGGTCACTTATGATGGAAGAAGAGCCTTGAAAATTGAGGGTCATAGAAAAATCTTCATTTTTTTATGTTCTTTTTGTGTAGTATGATTTCTCAGAAAATATGAACTAGTGGGATTCTTGAAGACCATCCAAGATCATGGCTTCTATGTTGTTCTTGAATTGGCCCATATGTTTGTGCAGAGTGGAATTATGGGTAACTTAAATTTTCTACGCTTTAATGATTTTTCTATAATTACATATATTTTAATCACATATTTTCTTAAACCTTTGCTAGCCAAGGTCTTCCTGTGTGGCTGCATAACATAACAGGCGCCAAGTTGAGGACAAATAATCCTGTGTTCAAGGTTAAGTTCTGACATTAACTCATTGGTTTGTTTTATTTATTCAGTTAATTAATCTTCCAATAATATATCTTAAATTTATCTTCAAAATGAGATGCAAACTTCACAACTCTGACATGATGAAGTATATGATATATTTTTTTTCTTCACAATGGGAAACGCAGGTTTGTAACTATTCTATAGCTAACTAATTGTTTTGCTTCTAATTTCGGTGATTTCAAACTGTGCGAATATAATTAGCTGAATATATTTTTTTGTTGATAGATTGAAAATGAGTATGGGAATGTTATTCAGTACTATTAGGACGAAGGAAAGTCACATTTACAATGGGTGTGCTTGGTTGGCTGAATATTTCAAGATATTTTCTTTTGGTCTCTGAAATATGTCAAGATTGATGTGCCTTGATTGTGGAGCAACATCAATCTTCAGCCAACCCAGCACACTATTGTAAATATTTCTTTCCATTCATCCCAGAGTATAACATTCCCATATTCATTTTCAATCTATCAAAAACGAAAACAAAAATTCAGGTTACAGTTATTCACTTAGTTTTGCAATTATCGATAATAGTTTTGCTAGACTTCTCCATTACTGTAGAATAGTTACAAACCCGAGCCGGCAGATATGATGGGTCCCCTTGTTAAGCAAAAAGATCTCACATCATGTCCACTATTAGAGTCGTAAAGTTTGCCATTTCATTCTGAAAGTAAATTTAAGATGTATTATTACGTTAATTAAATTGAATAAATGAAACAAACCAATGAGTTAATGCCATATTTTTCATAACTTTTACCTTGAACAGAGGTATGTTATGCAGCCACAGCAAGACCTCTGCAAGAAAGGGTTCAAGACATGTGGATATATATGGAATTATATAGAATAATCAAACATAAAGTGTTAAGTACAGAAAACTAAAAGTTATCCATAATTACACTCTGCACAAACATATGGGCCAATTCCAAGAACAGCATAGAGCCCTTGCTCTTGGATGGTCTTAATGAATTTCACTAGGTCCAGATTTTGTGAGAAATCATACTACACAAAAAGACATAGAGGTTCATGTGCATTCTAGAAGACATAATTTAACTCAATGATCTGTGTTTCTTTACTTTATAAATATAAATTTTTATCACAGGTTTAAGGATTGGGGCTTGCAAGATCCACATAGGACTGCTGAGGATCTTGCTTTCTCTGTTGCACGTTTTTTCCAATATGGTTGAACTTTCCAAAACTATTATATGGTAATTAAGCACTTTAATTGGTATCTAAGCTCATTTACTGACATGTTAGTCATTTAAGTTGAACTTAGAACATTAACTGTGTTTACCACTCCTTATGCTTGTAGTACCATGGAGGCACCAATTTAGGTCGTGTAGCTGGAGGTCCTTGTGAAAACCAGAGAATGGTTTCAGTTCTCTTCATTCCTTTTCACGTGTTACATAAATAGCTATTAAAGTAATAGCTGTACAATGGAATAGTTTACAAAAAAGAAATAATATTACAGCAGTCTTCATGATGATGTCTTCTCCTTTTATCTGGCAGCATCTTCTTTAACATATGGCATCTTCTTTATCTGACAGCATGTTGATTCCATCATGTTGTTTTCTTCATGGCAGACTAACCACGTGTCAACACTCCCCCTCAAGTTGGTGCATAGATGTTTCGAATGCCCAACTTGTCGAGGCATGAATGAAAACTTCTACTTGATACAGCTTTTGTCAAGATGTCGGCCAATTGATCTTCAGTTTTAACAAATGGAAAGTCAACAATTCCAGCATCCAGCTTCTCCTTAATAAAGTGTCTATCCACTTCAACGTGTTTAGTACGATCGTGTTGAACTGGATTGTGGGCAATGCTAATGGCAGCTTTGTTATCACAATATAAATTCATAGCCTTCTTGGATTTGCAACCCAAGTCTCTCAACAATTTTCGCAACCACATGAGTTCACACACACCATGAGACATGCCTCTGTATTCGGCTTCAGCGCTTGACCTAGATACCACCTTTTGTTTCTTGCTACGCCATGTAACCAAATTCCCCCCAACAAAGGTGAAGTATCCAGATGTGGATCTTCTATCAACAATGGACCCGGCATAATCAGCATCTGTATAGGCTTGAACATCTAGATGACCATGTTTAGTAAACATCAATCCTTTTCCTGGTGCTGACTTCAAGTATCTAAGTATTCGAAGAACAGCTTCCATATGACTCTCACTAGGGGCATGCATGAATTGACTAACCACACTAACAGCATAGGCTATATCAGGTCGTGTATGTGACAAGTAGATTAGTTTTCCAACCAACTTCTGATACCTTTCCTTATTTGTTGGAATCTGATCAAGGCTTTCTCCCAACTTATGATTTTGCTCCATTGGAGTGGCTGCTGGTTTGCAAGCAAGCATACCAGTCTCACTTAACAAATCTAGGATATACTTTCTTTGAGACAAAGAGATGCCATGCTTAGATCTTGCCACCTCAATTCCAAGAAAGTATTTTAGTACCCCAAGATTTTTCATCTCAAATTCTTGAGCCAAGTATTTCTGAAGTTCTGTGATTCCTTCTTCATCATTACCTGTAACAACCATATCATCCACATAAATAATCAAGGCTGTCACTTGTCCTTTCCTGTGTTTCAGAAACAGCGTATGATCAGAATTGCTCTGTTTGTACCCAAATCTTTTCATAGACAAACTGAATCTCCCAAACCAAGCCCTGGGTGACTGTTTCAGTCCATATAAAGATTTCCTCAGCTTGCACACCTTGCCAACATCTGTTTCCATAACAAACCCAGGTGGAAGATTCATATACACCTCATCTTTTAAATCACCATGTAGGAAAGCATTTTTCACATCAAATTGATGTAGCGGCCAGTCTAGGTTGGCAGCCAGAGATAAAAGGACTCGAATAGTGTTGATTTTAGCTACTGGCGCAAAAGTCTCTGAGTAATCAACACCATAAGTTTGAGTGTAGCCTTTTGCTACCAATCTTGCCTTGTATCTCTCTACTGATCCATCTGCTTTGTGTTTTACAGTAAACACCCATTTACAACCAACGGGTCTCTTGCCTTTAGGCAAGTCAACAAGTTCCCAGGTACAATTTTTTTTTAGTGCCTCCATCTCCTCAACCATAGCAATCTTCCATTTTGGGTCACCAAGAGCATCCTGTAAGCTACTAGGTGTAGACACAGAAGATATGTGGTTTGTAAAAGCAATATAAGAACTGGATAAACGATGGTTAGACACATAATCAGATATTGGATATTGAACAGTTTTTACTGTAGAGTAGCCAAACCTTTCTGGAGGTATCCCACGATTTTTACGAATTGGAAAACGAGGAGAATTAGAGACATCTATAGACTCATTTGAGTCATCTAGATTATCCCTAGCTGAAATATCATGGTTATCAACATTATCAGTATGTATGGAAGGTGGCGGGGATTGTGGAATTACCTCAGAATGATCTTCATGCAAAGCAGCAGGTTGATTTGGAACATGGTCAGGAAGTGGAAGATCTGTTACTACTTCATTTCTCTTCCTTCTTTGGTACACTTGCAACTCTTTTTCATGTGTATCATGTGTATCAGCAGTATTAGGTGATGGTACATATCCAATATCAGGGAACTGCTCTTCCTCTCCATCATTCTCCCCCTGAAGAGGAGTGACCGAAAAATAGGCCTCTTCTTCACAGAATGTAACATCCATAGAAATAAAAAAATTTCCTGATGGGGGATAGTAACACTTGTACCCCTTTTGTGAGACAGAATAACCGACAAACACACATTTGAGGGCACGAGGATCTAGTTTGTCACGACTGTGTTGGTGAACATGAACATAGCTAACACATCCAAACACTTTAGGTTGAATATGAAGAACTGAAGGAATAGAATGATACTGAGAAAGGGTCTGAATAGGTGTTTGGTACTGGAGAACCCGAGATGGTACACGATTTATAAGGTACACGGCTGTGCAAATGGCATCGCCCCAAAAACGTTTTGGAACATGCATAGCAAAGCATAAAGAACGAGCCACTTCTAAAAGATGACGATTTTTACGTTCTGCTATACCGTTCTGTTGAGGAGTATATGGACTGGAAGTTTGGTGTATGATGCCATTTTGCTCAAAAAAGGTTCTAAGTTCAGAATTCAAATACTCACCCCCATTGTCAGATCGGACTACTTGCACTGGTACATGAAACTGTGTTTGAATCATGTGATGAAATATAGGAAAAATGGATGAGACATCACTTTTATTTTTCAACAGATAAACCCAAGAGACACGAGTACAATCATCAATGAAGGAGACAAAGTACTTAGCACCAGTGTAAGTAGGAACATGAAATGGACCCCACACATCGGAGTGAATAAGAGAGAATGGAATATGACTTTTATTGGAGCTTACAGGGAATGAAACACGATGACTTTTTGCAAAAATACAAGTTTCGCAATGGAAGTCAGACACATGAACTTTAGCAAATAAAGAAGGAAATAGAAGTTGTAAATATTGAAAGGATGGGTGACCCAATCTTTTGTGCCACAACCAAATTTCGGCGTTAGCCTGTTCTGTACTAACTTGATAACCACTTCTTACTTAAGGATCAGGCAGTTTTGAGTCCAAGTAGTACAATCCTCCGCTTTCCTTACCATGACCAATCTGCTCCTTTGTCTGAAGATCCTGAAATAAACAAGAGGTAGGAGAAAAAATAGCCAAACAATTGAGATTTTTAGTAATTTGACTAATAGAAAGCAAATTATGGGAGAGAGTAGGGACATGTAAAACAGAGGACAGCGACAATGATGGAGTTAGGGAAACAGATCCTGCTCCTAAAACTGGAGTGGAAAAACCGTTAGCAACCTTAACAGTTTTTGTATGTGGATGACTGGGGGAAACAAACCAAGCAGTATTATTAGTCATATGATCGGAAGCTCCTGAATCAATGATCCAGAGTTTATCGCTAGCATTAAAGGGTGTGCTCACTGCTAAACCATAGTGACTTGTACCTGGATATGGTGAGGAAGTGGAAGTAGTGTTGGGGAAAACTCTGAGAGCAGACTGATCCATATGTGGTGAAGAACCATGAGGTAAAGGTTGTGAAGCCAAATTTGCAACACTTTTTTTCTTCTCTTTTCCCTTTTCTTGTTTGTCCACCCACCAATCTGGATATCCAACCAATTCGAAACAAGTTTCCCGAGTGTGTTTTTTCTTCCCACAGTGGGTACATTGGCGTGTGTCAAGCTCCTTTTGTCCCGGCTTTGGATGACCACTTCTAGGTACAGGGCGATGTAAAGTGGTTGTCATAGCTGACCCGTCAACATGTGAGCCAGCTAACATGGTTGCTTGCCTATTAGCTTCAGAGCACACCTGTGCATATGCGGCTTGCACACTCGGGAGAGGATCTTCGGCTAGAACTTGACCTCGAATTCTATCCAAATGATGGTCAAGTCCAGCCAAGAAGTCATATAATCGTTCGTTCGAAATTTCCGTTGTGCGGGCAGCAACATCATCTGAACACTTCATTTTGCTTGGTCGCAAGACATCGATTTCTTGCCAAATTAACTGTAATGTACCATAATAATCAGATAAAGACGTACCATTCTGACGAGTTGCGAGTGCCTTACACCGAAGCTCATATAATTTTGATGCGTCTTTACCAATAGAATAGGTCTGAGTAACAGCATCCCACACTTCTTTCGCAGTAGAAAGGCTAAGAAAAATAGCCCTTAAATTTCTGGTCATGGAATTGAGAAGCCAGCACTGAACCATGGCATTTTCTTCTTCCCAGGT